AGCTACAATAATTCATTTTCCTAAACATCACCACCAAATAATCCCTAATTCATCAAAATTCCCATTTATTCAACCATAATAATCACCCTTAATACTATTAATCCCTCCTTAATGTTCAAACAAAAAAGTATTAATGGAATAAAATATTAAATTTATTTGGTTCAAGTTTCCTTTTTAAATTTTTGATCAATATTTCAATTTTCAATGATTTTTTTCTCAGTACAAAAAATTGAAGTAAATTTTTTTCGTCGGAATTTAATATTGCAAATGTTTGATGTGACTAACTGAGCATGTATGTATGTTGAAGAGCTTCATTCAGTTTCTATTTTTGGTTTATTTTTATCAGGACAAGTTGAAATATTGAGTAAAAGTCACTGAATTGCCTGATGAAGTAAAAGAAGGAAGAACAAATTAAAAGAGACGGAAGTTTTGCTGGATAAAGAATTCTCATGATTAAAGGAACTTATAAGTCCTTTAAAATTGCCATTTTACCATTAAGAAACATCCAAGTAACTCTAAAATGCGCTCTATACCCACATTAAATATCGATATTATACGACTTCAAAAACATAAAAAGAAATTAACAATTGCTATTTATTTTTCAAAGTGAGCTGAAGTGGCTCGGTGGCGGAATGGTTTAGTACTTCGGTACCTAATTATTGCAATACCGACACAGCGATCATGGGTTCGAGACTGGGTATGGGAAATTTTTCACTTGTTCTTTTTCGAATCATATGTACTGGAAATGAGGCTCACAGCCTTCCTTTGTAGGCTACAGACAGAAATGTCATCAAAGGAGTGGTTCGGATCCCACTATAAATTGTAGGTCTAGGTTTGAGTGCAGTGGTTTGGCGCATCCTCACTCGTTAAACTCTCATTAGCTGCGAATCGCCCTAGCGCACCTCTGGATCACAATTGATCTGAATAGGTAAAGGTTTTTTTTTTTTTTTTTTTTTTTTTTTTTTTTTTTTTTTTTTTTTTTTTTATTTTTCATGTTGATTGAATTTCAATTTGATGAAGGGAAGCTGAAAGAATGCCTCGTCTGTAGCTTAATTAAAATGGAAAACGTGAATGCACCCCACGAGTTTTAAAAAATTAAAAAAGAAATTTCTTTCATAATGTTTTTTTTTTTGAATTTCGCAAGACCTACAGAACGCAATAAATATGTAAGACATTGCAAATTACAGAATCAAATTTCGTTTGTGAATTTTTGAGCTGTAAGATTTGTTTCCATAGCAGACAAGTCATTGAATGTGAATTTAAAGACATCAAAACATTTTGAATTTTGGTTATCTCAACAACAGATTTACATCGTTACAATAATATTATTGAAATTTCATTTCTAAGTATTAAAGGGTCATTTATTTATTACGTCTTATGTGAAATAAAAGTAAAAGATCCAATTTTTTTATGAAAATTATTTTCCGAATAATAATTCTTTGATTATCTTTTACTCATTTCTCTACCTGAGGACGTCATAAAGAAACGACTCCTTATTGCCATGATAAAAGTGGATTTGAGGCTTACTTTGAGTTTGAGTTCTGCCTGTATTTTAAAATAGGTTTTTTGTTGCTGAAAAGCCTGATTAAAAAATAAAAGATTTGAGTGTAAGAGGATTTTTTATGGATTTTATAAAAATGCATAGATTAAAAATGTCAGATTCGGTGTTTTTTGAAGAACTCGAGAATGAGTTAAGGCACGACCGTTAAAAAAAGTCTACTGAATTCCTTGTCTGTCTATTGTCAATATTAATAAAAATTGTTGCTACTAGCAGCTTTAATTAAAACAATACGGTAAAAGCTTTAATATAGCAAAAAGTTCAGATCAAATCTTAAATTTCCTTAAAGTCAACTTACCTTCCCCATACTCATCTTCTTTAACTCAGTAAAAAAATTCCTAATAAAATCGAGTACATTTAAATCATTTATCAAGTCAATTCTGAGAAAAGCTATAAAATGAGAAACTTTATACTCAATAAGATATAAAAGCCAACAATAGCTTAACATTATATACGCGAGAACATTTTCTCCGCATTAAATCCCTTTTATTCGAAATTTATAATCAAACTTCCCACCATCCAAAATCACATACATAAGAATTTTTTTGTTCTATCTCAATAATTTTCTCTCTTTCTTCTTCTCGAACTCTATATATAAGCATATATTGATACCTAAAAGCACTTCTCAGTCATTTGGTTTTTTTTTGCTTTGCACACCTATCGATATTTCCATGATAATCTTGGGAATTGATTTTTTTACTTCACATCTTTTAGAAATATCGTGTAACATATACGTATGGATAAAGTCGCATAGCAATGAAAAGGTGTAACGATGAGAACACTTTTGTAGCGGTGAAATTACTCGGGAGTGTAGTATGCAATAAATATAAAGTTTCTGCTTCTGGGTGTCGTATATTTTTTTTCTTTTTCACTTCTTTCATATGTTCGTATGTATGCATGTATGTATGTACTTGAAGTCACATGAATAAAAGAACAAGGGATGGCAATACAGGCGAATGAGTTTGAATTTCGCTTTGAAATTGAAAATTTCAAAATTTTAAATAATGTTGCCTGATCTTATAAGATATGACTGCAACGTTTAATATTTTAATTTTATTTTTTAACTGTGCGAGCTTTCCAGCCCTTACATTTTAACATTCTTCCCGCAAATATTTCTTGAATTGGGAAAATATATTGTAACAATGTGAAGTGAAGCAGGATATGACTTCTCAAAGAATATTCAATGTGAATATCATGAGTAGCATCAACAGAAGAAGCAGAAATAGCTATGACGATAATCCTAGCAGTGAGATGAAAAGATTTTCTTGGGTTAAAAAAGGTGGAAAATGCTTTACTTTTCATTTGATATTAAATTCAGTGAGAACACGTCAAGCAAATACGACAAAATGAAGTAAATATTCCTTGCCTTTTCGCATACTTAATCTGCATGATTGAGGATAAGGAGTGGATATTCAATGGAATTCAATAATTGAACTTGTTAAAATTTGGAGATATTTATCAGTTTTAAGTTTTACTTAGGCTTCACAAGTCAACGATTCCAAAAATATCAAATAATTTTAGTACTGCTGGTAAAAATCTTAAAAGCATAGATTTTTATCATATTTTGCGTGGGTTTTTATTACAATTCTTTAAGATCTAATAATAATTTATTATTGATTTTTCAAAAAATAAACCACCAAATAAAGAATACACGGAATAAACGATGAATTAGTTATAAAGGTTGACGGTTGTTGGAGCGATTTTTTTTAAAGTTATTTTCAATGTCGTATTTCTTCTTAATGTTGACAATTTCAAATCAACCTACGTAGCTGAAGATTAGTACACAAATTAGAAACAAGCTAGTTGGAACTTACGTCATCAAATTTGTTTTGTACACAAATTTATTTACTAAAATGTTGTGATAATAAGTAACCGAGCAACTACTGTGCAAAATTAAGGGTATAAAGTTCAAACATTTATGCTCCTTAAATTTTGTTATCTTCAGCTCTGTCTAGCCCAAACGAATATTCAAAATAAATTTAACATTCCATTAATTACTGAGCGATTCTTTTCGATAACAAAATAGAAACTACTTTAGCCTAATTACAATAAAGTGCTAATTAGAAAAAATTACTGCTGGTATCCAACTCCAACTCCATAAATATGTTTATGAATATAATATTGAAATAATGTTAAGGCAATGACATGACATAAAACCATTCAAATTTTACTCTACTGAATGTTTGCTCATTTCATTTTAATCATATCATTCCACATAATATGCTAATGTGTACATAGAGTTTTACATATCATTATCATGCTTAAAATTATTTTCATAACTCATCAGAAACAACTACATTAAGCACTGTTCGTTGCTACTTTACCATTCACGATAAATGTGTAAACAAAGAGATATTATATCAACTTAATTAACTCAGTCATTATCAGAACTTCATTTCGTAGCAAAAAAAAAGAATAGGAATGTGATGAATTCATTTGAATATACTCACTAGAAATGAACATAGAAAGCTGTCACGATTATTGTTGAGTAGTCCAACTTGAGTCCTACAGTGTAAAAGCTCAGCATATCTGTATATAATTTTCTGGAGGTTCCGTCGACATTTGTTTGATTATTTATGAATTAAACTGGATGGTTATCAGTCAGTTTGGTTAAAGAGGAATGTACATGGAAGGACTATTGCCTTAAAATAATTTTTGGTGATTTTCTGAATTTTGAGACGATCAATGCTTAGACAATTTAATGGGAATTTTCAATAGCAATACTAATCTTGCCATAAACAACAGATTTTCCAAAAAACCAATACCAATCATGCTCAAAGGACTTCCATTTTGATCAAAAAAAAAATCCACGTGAAAATATTTCCAAAAATGAAGCCAAAAGTAAACCACATAAAAAATTAACATATTTCTGTAACCGTGACTTTTTTCATTCCACTTCTTTTTATGATTACACAAATTTGAAATGTTTGCAGTGAGCCTTTAAACGTGATCAAGAATATATGAATGTATATTGCCAAACGAATTTGTAATAGAACAGAAAACTCAAATTTTGGTGAGTACGAAGTAAAAATTTTCAAATTGAATACGCCATGCTTACAATAAATTAGTAAAGGACTTGTTTTAAACAAAATTGATTTTAAAGGAAAATTTAAATTGTTTTTTCAAAAATCGGTGGAAATTAAAAGCTGTTTTTTTTAACTGGGTGTACTTTTCTTGGAAAAAGTTATTAATTTTCACCTCTATATCTCCTTCTTTTTCAAAAACTTATGATTGTCTCGGAAGTTTGAAGTGAAATTCTAAGAAAAACATTCAGTTTGGCACGTGTATCCATTAATGATGAGATCCTGTTATTCAAAATTAATGGCTTTGTTGGGGGCTTTTGTTTATGATGGCGTGCATTTATGTTTAAGGACATTTGCATTCAAACGAAATTAATACGAGCTTAATGTCACATCTTGTCCATATTTATTATATTTTTACTTTATTTATTTTTATAAAACTTCCATTTCGTATTACAAAGCTTCTCTTCTATTATTTTCTTTACTTCCACGAGCTTGTTACTCTTAACAAACCAATGAACATAATACTCACAGACAAATACAGCTAGTGAAAGTAATAGTCCAATCATCTCCAATATAAATGCGCCCTCAACATGCTCCAGCGCCAATTTAATTTGTATTGATCCGTGACCACCACCTGACGATGTGTCTTGTTCGTTTGATGTTTTCACGCTATCCATTTCCCATTTGGACAGCAAACCCGATTCAGCAATTGTTCGAATTTTCTCATTAATCATTGGCAATAAATGATGAAATTTTCTGAACAGCATAACAACGGAATAAATGACGACATTCTCTTGGACCGGAAAGCATGAAAAGTCAATTGAATCTTTCAATTGTAGTGGATTATTTAAAGCATGCGAGCGTGAAATTGCAACTGCTTTCGATTTATCTTTAACGATGTCCATGAAGCAATCATCAAGTTTTTTACAGATGACGTAATTTTTTAATAAATACTGCGAAGTCTGTGAAAAGAAAATGATGGAAATTTTGAGATAAGTTTGAAAGCATTTGAAGATTACTGCGCACTTTCTGGAAGTACAAACTCTTGGATTGAAACTGTCCACACGAATGGACATAATTGTTTTATCAGCTGGTGAGTTCAAAATCTAAAATTGGCGATAACAAACAGGAAGGAAGCCTGAGCTAATTTTGAAATATTAACAACCGAAAAAATACTAACCGAATCATTTTTCTGAAAGAATTCTTTCGCATTTTCCGCTGCCTTAAATGTCATGTTTGTTTTCATCGCATCCGTAAGCGAATCAATTTGAGTCAAATAACGCGGATTAGTCAGGACATTTATGAGATAACTGTGATATGCAGTAGAAATATGAAGACCGAAAAAGAAGAAACCGACAAAGAAAATTTTCAGTCCAAATCTGATTGGCTGGTAATGAGCATATTGACCTGTTGAGACGGAAAACATGATGAGAAATGCCCACGCGTAATTTTCTCGGTAATTTCCTTCAATGCGAACAAAAATAAAGAGTACTGCTGATGTTATGAATAAAGTTAAGATTAATGCTATCCACGTTTTATCTGTTTTTGGGGTTGAAAAAGATTTTTCATGAAAATTAATTGAGATTAACAGTTTTATGCCCACACACTTACAATTAAAAATGATGAAAACGTTTAACCATTTTGGTTGCAGACCAGCCTTTGATACACACCATGTAATGTCATCTTGATAATATGGAATTGATGACGATAAGAGATTTCTGGAAATTTGATTCTCAAAAAGTCCTCCAATCATTAAATCAGCTCGCCTACAAATAGGACAGCAAGATATGGCCAAGAATCTGTCATGAAACTATCAATCCAGCAAGTTATATTGAAAATTCTCACCTTCTCAAAATACTCGAGTACAATCCAGTCTTGTTATTCTCAGTAATCGTCCGAGTAGCTCTATCCTTATTAATTGCCTGAAATGTGAGATTCAAATCCATCCCATCAGTGATGGTTTTCAACATGAGAACTTCCAATCCTTTCTCAATTACAACATCATCGTCATAACCATGGTCTTCTTCAGTTGCAACAACAAATGGTTCCCACACGACAGCAGAGACTTGCATTTTGCAACGATGAAGCTTCTTTGGTATCAATGGATATAAGTCTTGATTAAATGATTCTATTTTGTAATCTTTCTCCTGTTGACCTGTTGTCTCGTTGATCAAACTTACAACATAACATTCTTCGATTTTCCGAATAATCTCTACTGTTGCTGGACAGCTTAAGTTATGGTAAGGAAACCATGTAATAACTCCAATCCTTTCTGTATCGTTCTTAAATTGATACATAGCATTGACCTTTAAAGCATCGTTTGATAAAAGTTCAGTAAAAAGTCTCTCAATCCATTCCGCTTGCAACTTTTCATCTTCAAATGAAATCGTAAATTGAACAACAAATTGTGCAAGCGGATTCCATGTTGGCAATGCCTTTAGTTGATTTAGAGTCGCCTCAAATTCATCGAAATGTTGAAGTAACATAAAATAATTTTGTGCTTTTTCTTGAACACGTGATGAGCGATGTGGTTTCTTTGAGTCTTTAACCATTACAGCAATATTATGGCCTTTGTCTTCATTGAAGCTTTGTAATATTCGAGCTTGAACCACACTCGGATTGGATACTAAATTAATTATAACTAATGATCCAGTGAGAGTGCGTTCTGATTTAAAATATTTTTCACAAAGTCTCAAAACACATGGTGCCATGAGGGAATCGATGTCATAATTAACTGACTTTATTCCGCCTGTAAAAAATTGAGGATAGGTGGTGAATTTTTTTGTAAAAGGAAAGCAAGGATATCCATTAAAAACTCACCCGTTATTGGACTAATAAAACCACTGATGAATAATATGGCAATGATTCCGTCGTATTTCATTGTTCTTGTGTCAAATGAAGGATTAAGAATGAGAAATTATTCTTGACAATTTCCTTCTTTTTATACAGCAAAAAGAACCACCACAAAAGAGCTCTATTCTTTATCGTCCACCATTGTTTTTCATTATAATTAAAGTGCCATTAAATCGACTATCCAAAGTTATAATTCATGAGCATAATTTTATCCTCTCCTCTTCTCTTGTTTCTATTTCTATGTAATTCAAGAACTTTGTGCAGTGTCATACAATCTCTTAACCCACAGAACAATAGTGCATTATTGTTTTATATGAATGAATAAAGGATATGTCCTTTCGTAATTTAATAAATTTAAGGGTTATTTTTGGGGCCTGAAACTCCCGAGGTGACTCATTTGAAAATGAAAACCGGGTCTATAAAAAACAGGATCTATAATAGAAAAGACAGGATTACATTCAGGAATTTTAAAAACTACAAAATTTGGTAAACGTCATTTGTGATGAACCCCTCGGATTCGTTTTGGGTTGAAAATCATAAAAAATTTCAAATTAATCCAGTTACTGACCCATAGAACTTTGAAAGCAAAATTTTTCCTCTTAATGTTCAATCCCATCATAAATTTAATCATCCAATAATGCCATTGTCTTGCAATGATTATATCAAGCTTTTAAGCACATGCAATATCAATTTCCAATCGTCTATCCTTTCATAACTCTCGATACTCGTAATAATAACGATAATGACAGCAATCTCCTTCACAATATTGTTAATAATTTATTGCAACAATGTGAACGAAGACACAAAATAATGAGAAGCTATAAATAAAAATTTTACGTACGGTAGATAGATTCCAAAGCCATTGATGATTGTATAATGACAATCTTTAATCAACTATTATTTTCTTAATTAATGTACTTACATGAATGTCTCAATGACTGGCATGGGAAAAGGCGGAAATAAGGAATAGACTAGGTGGAGTAAGTGGATGGCCACAAGTGATTGTAAAAGTATTAAATCAATATTGCCAAAGAATTAATTGTTATTGTTATCTCACAATTGTTGCTCAAATATCTGTCGATACATTCATTAAGTATAAAATGGTAATTAAATGTGAAAATTACTCTATCGCGTGCCTGATTTATATCGTGTCTATATTTGGATTGTATTAAATTAACTCTCTTCACTCGATAACATTAAAAAAGATCGTTTTGCTCATTATTGGATGTGATGATGTTATAATTTGAGTTTGCTGTCAATATAAAATTAAAATCGTAATTTCTGGGATTAAGTCTATTAATTAAGATTAGTTATGAGAATTGGAATGCTAATATAGTGGTCTGTTAATTGCAACTTTGTAAATATAATCATGAAGAATAATTTTATTATAGTTGATTTGGATTGGATTAGAACATTTTTGTTAAATTGTTTCAAACTTTTGACTTCTTTTAATATTTTAAAAAATTAATTTACAAACTTTACTGAACAGAACAATGGCTTGCTTCATTTATGTACCCATGTCGAGCATTCTCAGTCTAATGTGTCTTACGGGTATTTTTATGGACTCTGTTTTAATGCCTCGATTAAATTATTCGACACCACAATAGAAACTAAAATAATTTTACTAAAGCTTATTCTCACATAGTAAAATCAATCATTAAATTATTAACGACCAAGTATCATTTAAATCAATTTGACATAAGCGACTTTTGTCATACTAGATGAAACAGCTACCCTGTTTTTTTGTTATAAGCTACTGCTCTTTACTAAGCTACTAGTGAGCCAAAACATCCTTTTTTTTAATCTGCTAAGCTACTAGCTTTTTACGAAAAAACAGGGTAAGTTGCACTTGAGACAGAAATACAAAATGCAGAAATATTCTGTGCAAGAATGCATGAAAAATTAAATTTATTCTGAAATGTTTGTGAAGAATTAGAAGCTATTAATCAACATTCATTTATATTTAATTGCATTTATTGTTGTTTTCTGGTGTAATGCAATATTTACAAATTTCTCATGTCCACAAATTGACAGCACGTGTTTGAAATTTATTAATTTTTGGATAAATATTTATCACATAAGGAAATGTCAGAAGTCACGCTGTTCTTTAATTATCATATGTGAATATTTGATTCTTAGAAGTTTGGCAAAGGAATGGGATACGACCATTCAGATATCTATGAATAAAATTTTCAGGCCTCTGCATCATCTATAATATTATGGATTATAATGAACCCCTTCTGTGATTTAAAAAACCTCGATAAATGAAATCCAATTCATCAATATCTTCCCACAATTCAAATAAAAATCCAATAAAACAGAATCAAGTTACATCTGACGCAAATTACGAGAGTCTCGAAACAATTCAAACACATTAATCAATTATTCAGTCGGTACTGAAATAAATTCAAATCGAAACTTTATCTAATCCTTATTACACTATCCGATCTATAAATAATACGCAAGGGCATTAACTATTTGCTTTCGTCATTAGATCACATTATCTTTTTTTTGTTTCAAAGTATATCAATCTTTTTGTGGCTTACATGCGAATTTCAGTTGTAAATAATTAATAGAATTTAGTAATTTTTTGCTTGTGTAACATCAAGTTGAAGATTGAACATCTAATTGGCAGTATATATTATACGCATTTCATGTAGTTTGCGATGTTTTCAGCAATCTTCTAGGAATTTGGTGTTAAAGTTGTTCACACGCAATTTGTGTTCTCAAAAGATTAAAGTGTCTAACACGTATTCTTAGAGTTGTTAAGATTCTTAGGTTAGAATAATCCAAAAAGATCGAATCGCAACTCAACAATGATTTTTAAAGCAGAAGAAAAGATGTTGTTAAGTTTTTGAAGGTTGGTTTTGAAATTTTTTTTTTCAAATAAATTTCATTGATTGAACCTTGAAAATTTCTTCATACTCCGCAAACAACTCAAAAAATTTCCATTTAATAATTTTAATCTAAAATCAATGCTGCTGAATCAATTATTATTCCATCGAAGCTTACAATGTTCTCATTCTTTGCTTTATTCTAATGAAATTTCCTTTACCGAGCTTCATTTTCACTCGTTATTAATTCAGTCGAGATGGAAAACTGATCTCAATTTTCATGCAAAGTGAATTTTCATTTTGTTATAAATAAGATTTCTTGTGAGAGAAAAATTGAAGTTATGAGACTGTTTAACGAAGCATGTCAAGTACATCGGTTCTTATGGATGTTATAAGGAAATTTACTTGTTATGATGAAAAAGACCGAAGCTTAGTCATTTTCTTCCATTCTAATATACATTGACTATGAGTTTTATAACAGCATGATTTAATGAACTATTTTACGTATTATTTTAGAGAGAGAAGCTTTAACATCCAACTAGCACAGCATGAGCTAAATTGCCATGCTAGCGAGGATCTCAAGAGTGGTATCAATAACACAATTTCATATTACAAGGCATGGAATTTTCTAAATGGAAAAGTTTTCTGTATTAATTTGAATGAGAATAATTTAATGAATTTGAAATTTATAGTTAATAAAGACAGCATGAATCCAATGTTGTTTCTAACTGATCTGCATAGTTTTTAATTTTACAATGGAACATTCTTAGGGAAAATTAATCTGGTGACTTTCAAATTTATTTCAAAAGATTCAAGGTCAATTTTATGATTGGTCATCAATTCCATTTTTATATAAATAGAATATAATTCCAAAAAGTTACCAATCCTCTCATTTCTGCATTTCCATCCAAAATATACCAACAGAAAAATAAAATACTTTCATCTTCTCTCGTATGCATCTAGCGGTGCCTTAATATAATATGTTCTACAGCTTTAGATGCTGTTGTAGGCACCTAATGAATTTTTGTGCAATGTCATGCATGGAAAAATCTAAAGGAGCATCAAAATACAGCAGAAAAAATCTTTATGTTCTAAATTTCATCTCACACATGCAGCCGTTCTATGAAAATTTAAATCTTCAATTTTTGAGAGTAGATTCTAGTACGAATACTGCTGTTGCCGCTCATATGTTTGTACAGACGAAAAATATATGGAAATGTCAACCGGTAATTTAAAATTTTGTTTTGGAAAATTTCCAACGAAAATGCAGCAAAAATATCCAAACTTAATCCTACAAAATCTCTAAATTGATTTAACGATGTGATATTTTTGCATCAATTGTGATTGCATGGCGACAGCTGTTTGTCATTTTGAAACAAACAGAATAACTAAAATGCTACAATATGCATAATGTCAAGGTGAAATAGAGAAATGCCAAATGACAGAACAAGGATATGTTTTTAAGGTTTTAATGGCTGTCATGTGACATTATTAACGGTTTTTTGGTGATTTTCGTGGAAGTATGAGGAGTAGAATCAATGGATTTTTTAAGATAACTTATAAATTGTCACAGCATTGACATCCAAACTTCACAAATCTCAACTCATCCTCCTTAATTGTTTCATGTGTGAATTCTTTAAAAAAAATATATAAAATTTAAAAGCACAAAAACCTCTTAAAACTATGAACTATTGATTCCATTTTAATCCTCAACTATCTTATAGTTTGCAAAGAAATAAGAAAATATTGACCATAAAATAGTGAAAGTTTTAATAAAAATTCAATGAAAGCATCCCATAAAGCTTGATGAACTATAATAGCCATATGATTGACTCTATGCTTTGAATAAATAAAAAGTAAATGCATAAAAAATACTAAATGGTCGATATAAAAAACCAAATGTAGTACTGAATTATGTTTTAGATGAGAATTTATAGAAATAAGGTCAGTTTGATGCAAGGGTGGAAAAGTTTTTTTTTTCGGATCTTTCTTGGCAAAGCCCATGTATCTTTGAGTGTTTCAATTGAAGTCAAAACTCCTGCAAATTCCACTTTCTATTAATTGTCATCCAGCATCAACCTTCATAAACCAAAAAGATCAAACGATTTCCCAACTCAAAACTTGTTCCGTTACCTTGTTCAAAATTATTTACGATCGTTCATGCATCTTATTCCATTTTCCCAACTGCAAAATCTTATTAATGTTCATTGCACCCACTCATCATCAACTTTTTCTTTTATCATCACAAAGCTGCTCAGATCCTGTCTTCAGATTTCAATGTACTTATTCTATATGTGTGGATGAGATGCAATCATATACTTCATACATTTTTTTGTGTGAAGTTCGCTAGGATAGATTTATGACATCTCTTATGGTAGTTGTTGCTACCACTTTTTGAAGTTTCTCAAGGATAAATAATGTATATGGTTGCATGTTTACGTCTTTCTTTTTATTTTTCGTTCCACATATCTCAATGTCTTCAAATAGAGTGTTGAGAGTTTTTCTTTCATGTCATGTATGAGAAAGATTCTCTTCCTTTGATAGAAGTGTTATAGAAGATTTATGGCTGTTGCTTTCAATTTTACAAGTATGTATGTGGGATTATTTGGATCCTTATTCTTTTTGAGAGTTGTGTTTGTGATCTTTATGTTGGACATAGAATTTTATATTTTTATAAACAACTTTTGAGTGATTTTATCAATTTTTACTGTCAAAGGAGCTTACATAAAACGTAAAATGTGTATATTCCAGTTTATTCAGAAAAAGCTGCACACCACAAAAATGAGATTATATAGGAAGCTATCAAAACCACAGAATTTTTTTTATGAATTTTTAATGCTGGAAATATCTAGTTATTTTGATAGTTTTCAAATTATTAATGAGATAAATGTAAGTCCTGCAAATTTCAATGAGGTTTATCTTTTCATATATGATGTATTTTAGTTTTATTCAAAAAGCACCTTTAGCCATTGAGTGTAATAAATGTGTGAATTAGATACCTTTACTGAAATTCGATCACATTTGGACCAAATAAACTAAAATTCTTAATTGTGAATAACTAAGTCATGTATGCATATCAATGGAATACACTTTAGCAGAACATAAACCACAAAAATTTAATATAAATATCTGGAAGCAATCAGTCATAACAACATATAAAAGTTTTGAAATTGGGTGGAAGTAATTTGTGTAAAAAAATTACGTATATTCAACAGGAGGTAAATATCATGAAACACTTGCTATGGCTTGCACATCCACCCATCACGTGAGGAAATAAACCTAAGGTCACTCATAAAAATCACATTTGTCTCCTTGTCAAAAAAACAGACATTGGAAGCATCTATTAATTTTGGTAATATTCTTAAATTTAGCAATTGTCATATGAAAATTTTGGTATTTGGTTTGGTTACAGGAAATAGCGTTAGGTGTGAGGGTGGGTGAACGAAACCAAATATTTTTTTCCAGAGATCAAATCCAAGAAAAAATTTCAAATTAAAAAAATCTCAAAGGAAAAAAAATGATTGAAATTCATTTTTGCAAAAATGTATGAAAAAAAGCATAAAAATGCCCAAAAGAACTGTTTATGGTTCTGCTATCCATAAAATTTAAATTTTATTTAAATTGATGCAGCTTTACACGCTGATTCTTAAAAGTTGCTTTTGGATTCATAAAAGTGCCTCCTGTTGATCAAAAATGCCCAATTATATCAAAATAAATCAATTAGCAACATAAATTTCGCAGTTGTCACATTTGGTTTATTTACTTCCACGCAAAAAGCTTGTAAGTTGTTAATTTTGGTCGAACACACTTTTTTAATACAGCCTGAAGAACTCATTTTCAAAAATCTCTCCCAGTATCAAAATGTGTGCATTAGAATGCTGGATTTTTCTGCATATAAACTTTTACAATTGATCCACTTCACTCCGTTCCATTGCACTTCCTTTCATTCCGAACAGCTCGTCAAATCTCCTTTATATAGCCAAGGCTCCCATCAAAATTATCCTTTGACAGACATTAAAAGCATCTATTAATTTTGGTACTATTCTCAAAAATTATAATTTTTTTTCTATCTCCATTTACACTTTATACGAGAAATTTAGCAACTTATATGTTATCTAGCGTAAGTCAAGCGTGGAAGTTCGTGGCTTTCTACGTAAGTCGTGTTTTTTTAATTTTTATTTATGTCATTTACTTGCTTTCTTTAATAACACAAATCGATACCTTAATTACACCACGTATAAACTTTGTTACATATTTCCATTTCTATATTTTTTTTTGTAGAAAATATTGCGATGTTGCTTAAATATTTTTCATAATTTATAGGTCTTCATGCTTCGTGCTTCAATTTACTTTTCTACGATAATTAATGAACCTTTTTGTATTGTGGGAAAAAAGATGTTTTATATGGACGATATGTATGTTTTTTAATTGACTATAATTAAAGAATTTATTTTTTTTTTGTTTTTTAACATCGTAAACAAAAATTACAGATTTTATTAAGAAGCGCATTTCATGACACTGACATTCAAACTTTATCTCAAAAATTTAAAATCTCAATCCACATTATCATTAAAGTCAGTCAATCTACATTTTCATTAAACATGATTAACATAAAGTCCTGCTCATCACTAAATTAGTGTCAGCAATTGTCATGCATTTCCGCCTCACTCATTTTTATTTAAAACTGACTTTTATTTATTTTTCATTCTGCAAATTACATTCATTAAAATGGAACAATGTGAAGTTTAATTTTCTGATTTAAACTTCTTGCCATCATATGCATGATGAATGTTTTATGATGAAGTGACGTACAGTGCTTTTCGTCATGTGTTGCATGCTTTTCATATATGCACATGCATTCCGTTTTAATTTAGGTATGCATATTAAGAGGACTCTTTATTTGAGATTTTTTGCTGCATTTATTCAAAATTGCGTCATTAAAAATATGAATAAGGAAATGTTTTTCAATTGTTCTTTTATAATTCCGGTTGCATTTTAATTAATTGAATTTTATTTTGCCCTTGATGTCAGAATATTTTTCATTTTAAGTGCACTTGACTAAAATTTGATGTGGTAGCTCAAGAGTCATTGGTTCGGAACTTATTATTTACAAATTTAGTCATTCTCAAATTGCACAAATTCTCTCACAAATTTCAATTCTATCTTCTTAATTTCATTCTGTCATTTATTCCTAGAAATTTTAAAAGTTCAATTTCAAAGCTGAATTATGAGAACGACAGCAAAAAGAATACAAAAGATAATTTGTAAATTATGCATCAAAAAACTTTATTTTAACTTTGTTGCCATTATTTAGTATGCAACAAAGTACATCATCCGATATTCGTTTCTATTTTTCCTCACCCGTTCATTTTTCTCGCTCTGTTGGAGCTTTTTATTATCGGTGTTGCAACAAAACGAGAAGCTTCATAAATAAGTCGCTGTGTGAAGTTTCTTTTCTGATGACAAAGTTTTTAATATTTTTCTCTTCCTTTTCACATCCTTTAGTATCAAGTTGATACAAAATGAGGAAGTAGAGTCGGGTAGGGATTGCATGCTGGATAGAGAAATCATTGTGCATACCTGGATAAAATATTGTTTAAAATTATACAAAAAAAATTCACATCGCTTTCATTTAGAAGAAAAATTAAATGGTTGACATAATATAAATAAATTGTGTATGTGCTTTTTGTGTTAAGCAGTGGAGTAGGAAGAAGATTGACGTGTGTTTTCAAAGCATTTAAAAATTCAAGAAATATTGAATTATGATACTGAGAGGAAAGGAGTGACTTTACTACTGTTATGAATAACTAGTTATTTTATGTTAAAACATTTGAAATAATTTAATTGTTTATTCCTTATTGTTCCTCAAAAAACTCATCAAAATAAGCCTTTAATGTTTCATTCCAAAGTTTGACACGAATATGTTAACGCATTAAAATGTATCAAAAAACACCTCTCAGCTTATGTCATTATTTCCTTGTTTTTTCCTTGTTTTTACCTTTTTTAAAAAAAAGCCGAGCAAACAAGTTGCATACATAAACAGCATGTGAATTAAAAATTTCACAAACTTTTGATGTCACTCAAGAGCTCGTAAATGAAAATTGTTCAAAGGATGTGAAAAAGGAAGAGAAACTTTTTGCTCATCACACTAAATACATTTAAAAGATTCATGATACTTATTTCCGCACGGCAAAAAGTTTTAGCTTTTCCTCAATTTATTCCTTTTCCCGTCATCGCGTGCTCACAGCTTTTATTGGTGCATTTCTAATTGCGATATTTGTGTGGTCAATGAACAGTTTGAGGTCAGAAATGGGTTAGAAAATTTGCTGAGGGTAATGATTCCATGTGATACGATAGGGTTTAGATCTAAAATAGTGATTTGTCTTTGAAGGCATCTTTTTAAAAGATATCAGACACCAGAGACTTAATTTCGAACATACTTCAATTTTATTGGAATCCACCAGAATTCAAATGAGACTGCATACGAACCCAATGAACTCCAATGAGTTTTGTCTATATAAACTCATACCCTCAAAACTCAAAATGCGCTCTCAGTCCCAAATTTTATTCAAATTCTTTAAAATATTATTTTTTGAATCAAGCACATAATTCTTTGATTATGAATTTTTTATGACACCAACACCACCAAAAAAAATAAAAAAAAAAGCATAAAGAGGAACAGAAAATCTCTTGTATAGTCTGACATTGTTTATAAAATATTGCAGTGATAAACATGCATAAGTTATTAAAATTAATATTAATAAATTTGAAGTGACACAAAATAATCTTGATGCTATAAATTTTTTAAAACCTAAACTTTAAACATTTTAGCCTCAATAAATCGTACAAATTTAATTTTCTTTTTATGTGCTAGATAATAGATTATCCATTCAAAGCCAAATGCTAGTGTGGCAAGACTAACTCCGAATGCACCGAGTCCATATAATCCGATCAACTGGTCAAGATTTATAGCACGATTGACAGTAGCATCGTCATTGCGGTGGCGTGCAAGGTTCTCCTGAAATTTTATTGACTCACAATCCGATTGCCATTTGAGGATGAAACCTGATTCGGTAATTCTACGAATGAGTGTATTGACCATAGGCAGCAGATGGTGATCCTTTTTGAACAGCATAACAACGGAGAAACTGAAGATGTTATGAGCTTTTTCAAAACAAAAAATTTCCTGGTCGCTGACTGGAACTTTTGCATTCATTGCATGTGCTCTTGATATCGCAAATGCTAGTTTACCATCAGATTTTATGTCCAACAAACATCTGTCCATGTCATAACATGATTTATAATGGCTTTGCAAGAAAATAGCGGAATCATCACTTAATTCGTTGAACCGAGCTTTTAAATTTTCAGCGCCAGTGAACTTATAATGTCCATGAATAGCTTCATGAATTGTGGCCACCTGATGATCATAACGCGGTGTTGTTAATACACTTAACAGGAAGCTTTGATATGCGGCAGCAAAATTCAAACCAAAGAATAGCATGCAGGCAATGAAAAAGCGAAGAAAACCACGTCGCGGCTCATAATGTGCACAAATACCAAATCCAAGGCACAAAGTGATCACAAATGACCAGAAAATATTCTCATTGCGACGATTCTCTATGCGAACAAAGTTGTACATGAATATAGTCGCTAAAAGAATTGTTAGCCATACATAAATCCACATCATTACATCAAAAATTATGAATATGTTCATCCCTGAAAATTGAAAAAAAAATTGTTTTGTATCGAACACTAAAACGAACAAAAATCTACTTACAATTTGGCGCAAGTTCACTCTTCCTCACGCACCAAGTCATTTCATCGCCAAGATAGGGAATTGTTGTACTTAATAACTTCCTACTTACATCGTTATCATATAATCCACCAATCATCACATCAACTTTACGTCTTATTAAGTCTGCATAAAATCCAGTGTCTTCGTCTTCTGTTATAAAGGCAAATGCCTTTGCATCGTCAATTACTTTGAAAATTGATTTCATGTCAAGCTTTTCGGAAATTGTTCTTATTAATTTAATCTCAATGCCATCCTCAACATCCTCACGACTTCCATAAACAAACGGCTCCCAAATGTTTGTCGTTATCACCATTGGACATCCGTGAAATTTGTGTGGTAATCGAGATGGCAATTCAGGTATTAATTGGCGTAACTCAAAATTTTTACCCTCCTCGTAATCAGTGGCATTGAATGTTTCACACCTAATTTAAATTGACAGGTATGTGTATAGTGAGCGCGTGCATGGTTAAAAAAATCGAGAGGGAATGAGGGAAAGAAAATTAATTATTTATGCTTCTGTTTTTGAATTTTTTTTTGTTGTTGTGGATGTTTGCATAAAAAATAAGCGAGAATGTGAGGGAGCAAAAAAAAAAGATGTTTGTTGTTGTTACTGCTGTTGAGCTTTGATGGAAATTTAAAGAGATTTAATTTATTCTGACTGTTGTGGTTGTGATTTTATCTATAGAAGTAAATTTAATTAAAAGCTTTGTTATCTCTCGATAGAGTTTTGTATGGATTCTATTGTACGAAAAATTGTTGATTTTTTAAGGTTGGGCAGTTTGATTAAATATTAATTTTAATGGAAATATAATTGAAAATAAGTGAAAATTTTGGGTTCTGCTTCAAAAACTAGTGATTGTGAAAATAGAATACACGAGTTTTATCTTGTTCATACTCATTTTCCCGATCTGATTCTTAACATTTGACCAAAAAACCTAACAACAACCATTGAGCCAAGAACAGTTTAAAACAATTCATTGACAACAATTTTATTGAAAACAAATGAATCACTTACTCGTCAATAGTTTCCAAATTATTGTAGCTCAAAATATTCGAGCACGAGTTGCCATCGTACGGGTACCATATGAATGTTTGTATTAAATTGTCTCGATCCAGGTTTTGAATGAGGACAAACACATTCAGGATTGAGTAATCAAAAAATAGTTTGAATGTTCCCGACACGACCACTTCCATTTCAAATTGATCCGCAAATCGCTCAGTTACAACGACAATGAATTTCGCTTCATGATTCCACGTTTCATGCTTCTGTAGTTTTTTAATATTTTCGACAATTTCCGTTGGGAATGTGACAAGAATTAAATAATTTTTTGCTTTCTCTCGCGCGCGTGGCTCAGCACCTGTTCGATCAGGAGGCGGACTGTCATCCTTGATGATCATATTCACCTGATGTGTCTCATCCTCATTCAATAATTTCAGTATACGTTGTTGAACCATCATCGAACCTGTTTCATCGTTCGGTAGGAGATTGAGAAAGACAGTTGATGAGTTTTTCAAGTAATCTTTTGCCAGATATTTGCGTATAATTTGATTGACGCAAATTGAAACATCAAATCGTCCTTCTTCTTCAATTTGTTCGGTTATAATCTCTACGTAGATAGATAGATGGGCAGGCATGGAATGAGAAAATAATTTTTTTTATTCATCGTGCGGTTATGAGATAGGATGATATTTTTTATGATATGAGATTTAAAATATCTCATGTGTAAACATGTTTGCGATATATTCGATCAAATTTGTTGATGAAATTTCTGATTTTTGTATTATCTGGGTGGGATGAAGAGATACTGTGTGGTTAAAGGATTGCAAGGAATGAGAACATTTATAATATTTTTTTTTTTTTTCAAAAAAACCCACAGACGTAAATTTTGAAGGCATAGATAAGTGATAAGTGTCTATGAATATGTTCCTGATTCTCATATTCCATAGGTACGGATATATTTAATTTAATTCCTGATACATGTCAATCTGTTTCATTAAGAACATTTAATAGTACTTAACCTGGTTTTAAATACAATTTTGCGATTCCTGCAAAAAATTTTACTTCCTTGATTTTTACCTCAAAAATCAAATTTCATGCTTACACATTAATCTAAAATTAAATAACTATCAAAACCGTTCCTATCATCATTATCATTATGTTATCCATGTTGATCCCTCAATAAATAAACGAGTCCATGCAATCATCATTAATATGCAATATGCAATCCACTTCTCATTCCTATCATACACATAACACTTGTACATTTTCACATTTTCGTACACTTTTTTCCGTTAATAATACAATAGTCTGTGATAATTCCGATTTAAGAGCTTTCGACTCTACAACTTCCATTTTTAAATGATTTTGGGTACACAGTAAAAATTAAAAAAAAAAAATTCATTTACCATCGAATGTTTGTGCACGGGATATTGAGCAGATATGCATAAAAGTTGCAACAGTGACAATGATGATAATGCCTTTAAGCTTTGGTATCTTGTTCATTACTTCCATTTTGTTCGACTACTGTTTTGGTTATGGCCCTTCACTTAATGCTGAGATCTTCATTTATACACGGACAATAAGCTCATAGAGCATGGAGCCTATTATTATGATAGTATAGAATAATAAACCAGATTTAATCGCTTTCATAGTCATAATTATATTTATTCTCTGGCTGCGATTAATGTAAATAAAATTTTTACCACATCAGGGAGTTTGCTGCCGATGAAAAATAAATAAATATACATCCTTGATACATACGGAAAACTACAATTTTTTTGGTGTAATTTATTTTTGTGTGGGGTAAAAGTAAGTCGTGAAAATTCTGCAAGTTTGATGGGGAATTGGCGCTGTTCGAATCAAAAACTTTAAACCTACTTTATTTTCAGCATAATCCTTCAACATACTTCATAGTGGTTATATCTTTTACAGACCACTCTACTAATGACCCCTTCACTCTCCATTTAAAACCTATTCGTTGGTGACTTCTCCATAGTCAAAATTCAATAACCAGTCTGTTTTCAGCAACAATACACACCAAACTTGACAAAATATCACGATACGCTCCATATTACTCATTAATCCTGCTTTAAAAAACAGCCATGAGGGACCCTCACCAACTGATAATATTGTTGAGATAGAAAATTGTTCATTGTTTTCTCTAGCAAACAGCTTGTATACGCGAAGGTAAACAGAGGCACACAGACATAGAGAAAAACAATCACGAAAGGATTATTGATAAATAAACATTTTATCGCTTCAACCTCTACACTTATGTTAAAATTATGATGCGGTTTTAGTCAAATTACAGATTCATTAGGGCAAGACCGCGAAAAAAGTGAACAAATATTGAAAGTTGATTCACTCAGAGTTTAGTTATTCAATCGTCACAATTCTTTCAGTGGCTTATAGCCAAATATAAAAACTGAATTTTTAACCCAATAATTTTAAAATGGCGACTTTATAAGTTAGTTTAATTTCTAAATCAAACATTCAAAGTGATTTTTATCCAAGAAGGAAGCTGTAAAAGGAGCTGATATGTTCATAAAAGTTGTTGAGAATCTTATTTTCTTTCATTTATCATACACACATTTTCAAATTAATACACAAAATTAGTTAAATTAACCAAAATTGATTTTACATATAAATTTAATGAAATTTTCATTATTGTCCCTCAAAAAGCATTAATTAATGATAAATTACAACTTTCCTGCAAGAATTTACTGCAATAAAGCCTTCTAATTTAGTTAATTTAACTAAAAGTTTATTTTACAACTCTTTAATCAAGTCAAAAAATTAAATTTTCAAAAACGGTTGAAAATTTTTGGTTAAAGTTTTTAAAGTTTTTGCTTTTTTCTTGTTCTATAACATTATATTGTGATATATTTTGCCAAAACTAAGCATATTTGATGTATAATTATCATTTTACATCATAAAATTAAAAGAATATCTATTCAACTGCCATTTAAAGGCAATTTTACAAAATGACCAAAAAAAGTTAATTATACTACTTTTTTCAAACATTTTTGACTTCTATCATAAAGCCAAGGTCTAAAACTATATTTGTGTCAAGAAAAAAGTTAAGTAAGTTAAAAATTGATAGTAAAATATAGGAAAATAAGGTTAAAAACATTAATTAAATTAACTTATTAAGTCGCCATTTTGTTTTTATTACTTTTTAATGATAACTGTTGTTTTAAACTAACTATTGCTGAAAAAACTATCGAAATCGGTGTAAAACTAAGCGAGATAGACTAGTTTTAGTAAAATTTCAAATACCCTTCCCAAAAATTCAGTGTCAGATTTTGCCTATTTTCAGGCTCTACAGCCTTAAGTATAGTACTTCCAATTAAAAGTTACATACCAAAAGATAGGCATCAAAAAGTTCTATAAAACAGTGTGTTTAGTTTTACTGTAAGTATTTTCGTTATAGAGATATAAACGAAATAATAGCAAAATCTGACACTTAATCGAAAAACGGTCTTGCCCATTAACATTGAATCATACTTCGTATACCTACGAAATGGATAGGAAGAATGGAAACAGTAAATTGTGTTTTGTAAATACCTGAAATTGTTCTGTATGTCTATAGCATATCAGGCGGAGAATAAGTTAAATTACATTTAAAGTGCTATCATTATAAATGCACATTATATTAAGATAGAAAATTCAAATTTATATGTACATTTATATTCAGCCATAAGCAGTGTTGATAAAAGCTTTCAATGGGCTTAAAAGCTTCGAGTATCGTTTAAAGTAATGAACGCATTAAAATGAGTCAGGAAGGAGGATAAGTACACACATTTCAGATAAATTAATTGCTTTTACGTACAATACAATAAGTGCACTCATAAAAAAAAATTAACAATGCATTGTTACTTTGTATGAAAATTTTAACAATGTCATGATTAAAATAGCGTTGACCATGAAATTGTTAAATTTAACAATGACCATTGTAAAAAATTTTGTCAACAATGAAATTGTAAAATTTAACAATCATATTGTTAAAAAAAAATTTCGAAGAAAAAATGGTCACCCATCCAAAAAGGAAATGAAATTTCGTTGCTTAACTTCCAATGTCGCCTGTTTAATCGTAATCGCATTTCTTAATTTTTTATCTGATTTAAAAGTGACAAAATAATTATTTAAATGAAAAGGTAAATTTTAAAGATAGTGAAAATGAATAAGATTTTAATTATAATTTTTGTCAAACATCAATAGAAAGTATTGAAAAATAATTTAATTAACGAATATTAATTCAAGTACAACATTTTTTAATAAAAAATCAACTTTTTTAAATTTTTATAATTCTTAAGTACACAGAAATAAAACTCACTTTTCATACTGAATTTTTATTTAATTATGATTATTCAAAACTTAAGTAAAGTTAAATTATTTAAAATTTAATATTAACGATGACCATTGTAAAATTAACAATCACCATCGTTACGTTACAATCTTATCGTTAATTGATTGTAAAAATAATTTTAACGATGAAATTGTTAACTTTTTTTTTCGTCATATAAATTTAACAATGTCATTGTTAAATCTGGTTTACAACGAAATAACAATGAAAAATGTTAAATTTTTTTTATGAGTGTGAAGTAGGGAAGTGCATTAAAAGTTTGGAATATACTTGAAAATGGAAAATCTTCCACAATGGAAAGTTGTGTTATAAATGCATTATATTCAAGTCATGGATTACTTTAAGAGTGATTTAGAGAAATTTTTACAACACTAACCGCTCTCAACCTCACCTGAGCCTCCTTTCTGTTTTAAATGCAAATGTTATCATTGAACGAGGCTTTAAAAATATTTGCAGAAACTGATCACAAATCTATTAGAAATCTGTCCATTATTTAAGACTTCAACTCAAATTTTCATTCTGGGTTTATCTCTTTAGCTTATCTCACGTGCACAACCAAGAATCAAAGATAAAAATCCTTGTGGATTCATTCTTCTTTTTATTTTATTACATTCTGTTTATGTCATCATAACATTTAGATTTCATATCATTTCCCAATCATGCCTTTTAAAAGATGGCAATTTTCGCATGATTGTATTGTGTTGGGAAGTTCGTTTACTGATGTTGAGGTCAAGAAGGATAGGAGACGCAGAATTTGATTAACTTGAAAGTTCTGCATTATGGCGTAGTCTTAATAATAAGGCTATAAATAAAAAAGAAGTTAGAAACTATGAGATAATCGTATCTAATGTTCAATATGTTTCAGAGACCCCGAGTGGACAAAGTACTAGTAAAAAGCTTGCCATTGACTTACCTGTTCATGGCGAGTAAGTATCCATTGACGTGCCTTTGCAACTAGACCTAGGGACGACTAATGACTAGGGTTCGGAAAACCACTAACTGATTATCTACAGTTATCAACTTTTAGATTATCTACACAAAATCTACAGTTATCTACAGTTAGTAAACTGTAGATAAATTTTTTGAATGAAGAAAATCCGTTAAAAAAATTTGCAAAGTTTTGTAAACAAACAATTTTTGGAGACTTTTTTAATAAATTTATGTATAGAATACACTTATTATACATTAAGAGAGCTCAAATGTCAACATTAGCTATTAAAAATCAACTTTTTGTTTATCGAATATTAATAACGGTTATATGAAATTCAA